CTAGTCGATGCCCTGGTCCCGAGGCAACTTCTGCTCCGCGAGTGTGAACCACTCCTGCGCCATCTGCTCGACCGGGCACGCCTCGCGCGTCCCCGCGGGCCAACTCCAATGCAAGGGCAGTTCGTCCAGCTTGGGGCCGGGGCCGATCAGCGGGTGAACCTCGAAGGGCTTGAAGCGGACAGGCACCTGGGCCATCTTCTGGCTCCGCAGGTCAGCCAGCTGCAGAGAGACGGGCGCATGTGGATGAAGGGGGGCGCCGGGGGGGGGCTCTGATCCGAACTGCACTGCTCGCCAACGCCTTCGATTCCACGAAATAGTCGATGGTGCGAGCTCCCTTCATACTTCCTGCAGCGTCATTACCATCTTGCCGACGTCGCTCCTCGTCGCTGCAACTCGAGCAAAGGGCGCTTTCTGGCACCACCAAGGCCCCGCGCTCCAGGGGCAGGAAACCAAACTCCCCCAGCTCTTCTAGCGTCATGTTCCAGTCACCCTGGACAACCCACATCACGTCAAGGCTCAGCGCGAGCTTCGCCAGGGCGCCGAGCAGGCCGGTGTTGCATTTTGCCCCAAAGCTGATCTCACAATAGACCGACAGCAGGGCGATCCCGCCAGGCAGCGCCACCCCCAGGCGCCGGCCGCACTCTGTGGGCGGACTTGGAGCTCTCGACCTCCACGGCAGCCGAAGCGAGCTCGCGGTGCACACGCCCGGCCGAGCAATTCAAGGCCCCTTTCCCTGTGGGGCGCGCCCTGCCATGCGAGGCGCGCATCTTCCCCCTTGTGGCGAGGCCGTGGGCTGAGATCAGCTAGTCCTCGCCCTTATGTCACTTTTCCTGCAGGCAGAACGCAAGGGGCCGCTGTGCCTCCGCACGAAGCCTGGCATCCGCCAGCCTGCCTGCCGCACTCTCGGCGTCAACCCACTGCAGCAGCGCCGGCAGGCTGCTCCAAGCATTGACGTTGGCGCCCATGATGCTCAAGTTCTCCTTGGGGTAGGTCTCGGCGGTTTCCAATGCACCTGGCGTTGGGTCGCCCCCACATTCGGCCTCAGGCCAGTCGCCGTTGGTGCCTGACGCAGGGCCGCCTCTGGGGGTGTTACCCCGGAGATCCGCCTTTTTTCTTGCCGATCGTCTTGGCGACGAGCTGCCCAGCCAGCTGCGCAGCCGCCTTGGCCTTAGCTCGCCTGGCTGTGCGGGTGCCGTCGCCATCGTCAGCAGCAGCAACGCCAGAGTCCAACTCGCCGAAGAACTTGTCGAGCGCAGCTTGGTCTTCCCAGTCGAGCATGTCGAGGTCGGGAACCTCGAGGGGGTTTCCGTTCCTGCTCCAGGAGCTCCACGTCCACCTCCAGGCACCCCTCCTCCTGGAACTCCGCCTCCTGGAGCCCCGCCGCCTCCACCTCCTCCTCCTGGTCCTCGGGCGCCGGGGACAGCAGCGTCGGCTGCGCCAGCCCCGGCGGCCTGCCGTGCTGCAAGCGGAGGCTGGGCGGCCTTGGCCGCGGCCACCAGCGCGTCCACCGCCACCTTGTAGGGCCCAGCGCTGTCGCCGACCAGCAACTCCCCGAGATTCTCGGACAGCTCGAGCGCCGCACGGGCCCGGCAAGTCTGGGAAGCGCCCTCCTTGGGCATCGCCGAAGGCACCGCGGCTAGCACCACGGTGTCCTGCTGCTTCTGCAGCTCCGCTGCCTCCGCGGCCGCCTTGGCGTGCTCGGCCTGCAGCGAAGCAACCTTCTGCGAGGCCGCGGGGATGTCGGTAAGCTCCAGGCGCTCCACAACATGGAGTTTGCGCTGCAGCTTCTCGTCGAGCTCCTTGAGCTGGATGTGCACTGGCTTGGCCGCCAGCCGCGCGGCCTGCAGGGTGCGGAGCTGTTCACGCTTCTCCGCGCGGGGTTGCTCGACCCCGGTGCCCTCCATGCCGCCCAGGGCCTCCAGATCGGCGCGGAGCCTGTCGGCCTTGGCCGTGTCGGCGGCGCCAGGGCTGTCACCCCCTCCTGCCGCTGGCCCTTTCTGGACAGCCTGGGCCTCCTTCTCGGTCGTCTCGAGGGCGGCCTCGCGCATGCGAAGTGCGGCCTCTCGGGCCCTGAGGTCCTTCTCGCGTTGCGTGGGCGCTGGGAGCACCCGGCGCGACGGCTCCTTGGACTCCACCTTCCCGAGGAAACAACTGCCCTCGGCGAGGCCGCACATGCTGCACCCCGTGCGGGACGCCTTCTTCATGCAGGCCTGCCCATCCCTGCCCGAGCAGAAGAGGCAAGTCCATGGCGTGGCGGTAGCGGCCCTGCTGTGCCCGCCAGAGGCCCACGGCGCCGGCGCCATGTTGCCCGCGGAGGAGCCGTGGTGGCCGTCCAGCACCCCAGCCGCCTGCCGCAACCGCGCGAGGAGGCCTGGCGACGGGCGGCCCGCCCAGGCGTGGAGGAGGGCGCGGGCCGCCGAACGGCGGATGCGCGCCCGATGATGGTGGGCAGCCTCCTGGGCCGCCGTCGGGATGCGCGAGCGCGCGTGGTCTCAGCGCGAGATGAGTCGCTCGTCACCTGGGCTGACATCCCAAGCAACTCTCGTGCCGAAACTAGGAGGAGGAGGAGGAGGAGGAAAAGGAGGAGGAGGAACCGGAGGAGGAGGAGGATAAGATAAGATAGGACTCGGCTTTGCGCTGTGAGTCTGATGATCCTCACCCCCGCGAGCAGTGAGCTTTCAAAGGGCGCTCGGGGGAACCTCTCACAGAGCGTCACACTACGGTCTAGCGACGAGGTCAGGGAAAAGCGAACCGTGCAGCCCAGAACTCCTCCGAAGTTCCGGGACGGGTCGCAACAGACGAAAGCATGCGGGCGGGGGGCGAAAAACACCCTCGGGCCCCGCAGGGGCCGAAGCCTACGGTGCTGCCTGCACAAAGCAGGCCCCTGGGGTACCCGAAGACACCAAATTCGGACCAACCCTGCCAATCGAAGACGAGAGGCTTTGGAGTCTCGGAAGCGGGGAGACCGAGCCACGGGAGGAGGGTCCCCGCACGGCATCCCTCCGCCCGCACACAGTCCCCCCTAGAACCCGAGACCCCCAACGCCGAGCGAGGCAAGGGAAGGGGCACGAGGGGCAGGTTACGGTCGGCGGACGATGCGTGCCACTCAGAGATCCCGAGTAGCGCGCCTCGCAAGAACTCGATTCAGTTTGGGAGGCTCGAAGACGGGGGGGACGCGGCTCAGGTCACAGACGTGATGACACAGAGGAAGGCGTTAGCCTGCTGATGCCCTGGCCCGCAACGATCAGAACACTGCCTTCCAACTGAACCACCTGCGCCACCGCCCAGACGACGGAGCACAGCACGTCGCTCGGCACGCGGGCGACGAGGAAAAAAACCTGTAGTCACTGTCGATGCGATACACACCCGCGCGGGGGGGTCTGCGGGCTGGCCCCGCGCGCCCCGCCCGCAGGCCGACGACCGCGGACGGGTGCGCCGCCAGAATTTTTTTCGAAGGCCAGGAGCAGCCGACGCCGGGGATCGGTGGCCGACAAGACCGCTCGACAAGGCGGCTTGCCGCGTTCCATACGCGGCAAGACAAGGCAAGAGCATCGAACTTCGGAGCTGCAGAAGAGCAACCATCACTGTCCACGGAAGGCCCCCCTGCGCTCCCCGGCCAGGACAAAACGTAACAGTTGAAGGCATAGTGGGAGAGGCCGTGCGGGTTTATTTGAGGATTTCAGCCCGTTCTCATCTGCGAACGGATGCATCACCATTCGCCGCAGCTCAGATCTCATGGCTGGATTGAAGCGGGTGCCCTCCAGAGCCAAGGCCGCGTCAGTATGCTCGGGCACAACAGTGAGCGTGCGGAACTACAGTTTTCTTCTTCATTCCTCCATCATAAAAACTAGACAGAAAGAAACGTTCGGCAGGTAGTGGCAGCATTGTCAGAAAGGACAGCTCTAACGTGCGAGAGCGAGAGGCTGTTGCGTCGGGACAAACTTTTGTTCTAGAGAAGGCGACAGCGGCAGCAGACGGCGGCGACAGTGATAGGCACCAGACGCCATCAGCTACATGCGAGGGCTCGTGCGTGCGAGAAGAATCGGCAGTGGCAACAGTCGGAGGGTGCGAGCGACAGAAACGCGACGTCATGTTCTACACGCGCGGGTCCGCGTGTGCGAGACGACCCGCCAGTAGCAGCAGTCGGCGGCAAAAAGCACACTTAACCAGACGCCAACTGCTACATTCGTGGGCCCGTGTGTTCGAGAAGAGTCGGCAGCGCCACCTGTCGGGGGGGAGCGGAACAATACGCATTATGTCATCTGCTACACGCGTGGGACCGCCTGGGCGAGCAGAACTGGCAGCTGCAACAGTCGGCGGTGAGTGTTACCAGAACCAGATGTCAGCCGCCACATGCGAGGGATCGGCTGTGCGTGAAAAGTCGGCAGCGGCCTGGGGCGAGAGTAACAGTAACCACACGTCATCAGCAACATGCGTGGCAACGCCTTCGTGCGAAGAGCCGGCAATGATAACAGCTAGTAACCTGGGTGACGTAGCCCAGACATCATCAACTACAGGCGAGGGCCCGAGCACGGTAGCGGCAGCAGCCAGAAGCGAGAATAGCGGAAAACCAACGTCATCAACCAAATACGTGTGCCCGCTCGTGGTAAAAAAAACCGACAGCGGCAGCAGTTGGAGGCAAAAAATTGCATCCACTCGCCATCAGCCTGATGAGTGGACCCGTGCATGCAAGAAGAGTCGGCAGTGGCAGCGGCCGAATGCGCGAGCAGCAGAAAACCAGTGTTATCAGCTACAGGCGCGTGCCTGTCTGCGAAAGAAGAACTGGCAGTGGCAGCGGTTGGAGAGTCCAGGATGGGCAGACGGCAGAGCTACCATCCAGAGAAAGCTAAAGATGTGAAATCTCCTGTAACCTGCTGTCGATACTGCATCAATTGCAGTCCTGGATCGGAGCGTGAAGAATGTGGATCAAAAACCATGGCAACCTTGGGTGCCAGAGCCACTCAAGGCGAGGCCGGAGAATGTCTGTGTCAGCCCGAAGCAGGACCGCGACGCGAACTGAGAGGGTCGCCGCCCTTTTGGGCTCCTCAGGAAGACAAGGCCGTTATTTTTCTGCGTCGAGGGTCTCCAGGCTCGAATGTGGCCCTTTTGACCTCTTGGGCGGCGGCCCTATTGCAATCCCACCTGTATGGGAGACAGTTTCTTGACCAGATGCCCGACAGTCGTGTATGGTAACCCTCTTCTCCTTTCCCACCATCTTGCAACCATCCTCGAGGGCGTCCGAGAGTGGTGGGTCCTCCGGCACGCGCGTCGCGCACGGCGCGGGCGGTTCTCGGATTAGGTTGGCTGCGCCTGTTCTTGCGTTGTCGTAGTAGTAGTAGTAGTAGTAGTAGTAGTAGTAGTAGTAGTAGTAGTAGTAGTAGTAGTAGTAGTAGTAGTAGTAGTAGTAGCAGTAGTAGTAGTAGTAGTAGTAGTAGTAGTGGCAGCAGCAGCAGCAGCAGCAGCAGCAGCAGCAGCAGCAGCAGCAGCAGTAGTAGTAGTAGTAGTAGTAGTAGTAGTAGTAGTAGTAGTAGTAGTAGTAGTAGTAGTAGTAGTAGTAGTAGTAGTAGTAGTAGTAGTAGTAGTAGTAGTAGTAGTAGTAGTAGTAGTAGTAGTAGTAGTAGTAGTAGTAGTAGTAGTAGTAGTAGTAGTAGTAGTAGTAGTAGTAGTAGTAGTAGTAGTAGTAGTAGTAGTAGTAGTAGTAGTAGTAGTAGTAGTAGTAGTAGTAGTAGTAGTAGTAGTAGTAGTCGCTGTCGTAGTAATTTGAAGGAGTTTCTGTGGAACTCACGTCATCCTCACCCCCGGCGCGAAGAGCACGAGCCCAGAGCGGCCTCCGGCACCGTTTCCGGACGGATCCGCTGGATCCGCTGGATCCGGTGACGAATCCCAAACCGGCGCCCTCGCCTGAGACATCCTCACAAAACGGGCCCCGGGGGGGATGCCCAGAGGAGCCCAGAGCGGCCTCCGGCACCGTTTCCGGACGGATCCGCTGGATCCGCTGGATCCGGTGACGAATCCCAAACCGGCGCCCTCGCCTGAGACATCCTCACAAAACGGGCCCCGGGGGGGATGCCCAGAGGAGCCCAGAGCGGCCTCCGGCACCGTTTCCGGACGGATCCGCTGGATCCGCTGGATCCGGTGACGAATCCCAAACCGGCGCCCTCGCCTGAGACATCCTCACAAAACGGGCCCCGGGGGGGATGCCCAGAGGAGCCCAGAGCGGCCTCCGGCACCGTTTCCGGACGGATCCGCTGGATCCGCCGACGAATCCCAAACCGGCGCCCTCGCCTGAGACATCATCACAAAACGGGCCCCGGGGGGGATGCCCAGAGGAGCCCAGAGCGGCCTCCGGCACCGTTTCCGGACGGATCCGCTGGATCCGCCGACGAATCCCAAACCGGCGCCCTCGCCTGAGACATCCTCACAAAACGGGCCCCGGGGGGGATTCGAGGAGCCCAGAGCGGCCTCCGGCACCGTTTCCGGACGGATCCGCTGGATCCGCCGACGAATCCCAAACCGGCGCCCTCGCCTGAGACATCCTCACAAAACGGGCCCCGGGGGGATGACCAGAGGATCCCTGTGGTCCAGCATCCCTTAAAATAAGGGTCGACCCTTAAAATAAAGGTTATTCGCTATAACCTTTATTTTGCTTAGTTTTGGTGGCATTTCCTGCAACTCCATGAGCGAGCGATTCGCTCGATCAGCGAGCCGCTTCGGCGGCTTGATTTTACTGCGCGTTTACAAATGGCAGTCCACTTGGTGGGGCGCCGCCCATACGCTAGTCAACGAGCTTGAATTCAACAAAAAATCCTCACCCCCCTCTCCCTCCTCCTAGTCCTTCTTAAGAAGATTCTTCATCCGCCTCATCAGCCACCTCCTTTCGGGGGGGGGTCAGCGGTAATTGCGGGGAGAAGGCCTTCCCCCACCCCCACCACCACCATCACCGCCATCACCACCAATACAAATATCAACACCCCAACAATTCAACGTATCGTGATCACCGCCATCAGGTGTCATTGACAATACCACCGTAGCCATTTGGGCTCAAGCTGTTGCAGCGGCTCTCGTTGATCGCACACGCAGGCGCTTGCTGAATGGCGTCAGAGCGGCAGAGGTTTCCAGGAACAGACGGCGACATACTCAAGGTCTTGAAGCCGCTCGTCGACAGCAAGGGGAAGAGCTTCTTGAAGTACGACGAGCACGAGCAGGTCATGAAAGCGGGGACTCTTCCAGACTTGATTAAGCGAGCCCACGACTACCTCGATATCATGCACGGCCTCCAAAACAACCTGTCCTTCAAGCGTGCGCAGATCAAGTCGGTCGCGACCGCGATCGCCAACGAGTACAAGGAGAAGTGGAAGCTCTCTGGGCCGATGGTGAGGGACTACGCGATCACGATGGAGAGGCGGATGTGCAACATCCATCATGTCGTGGGCCATGCCATGACGAAGAAAACGCCGCCAGGCTGGGTCAACGAGCTGCCTTGGAAGGACACCAAGGACACCAAGTCCAGCAAGCAGCAGAAGGACACCGAGGGCACCGAGTTCGCCTACGGCTTCAGAAAGGACCTGCTGCTGGCCTACAGGGCACCCATCGGACGGAACGGTCAGCCCACGAAGCGCCTGGAGTTGGCGCTGCCCCCCGACGTGGAAAAGCTGCAGAAGCTTCCTGCGACGTCGAAGCTTCCAGCAGTGTTTCCAGACGGCTCCGAGCACAGCTTCGACGATGTAACGGTTGGCCAGGTGGGGCCCAGTCTCCTCCTCTCCTCATCGGTTGTTTTTTGTTCAAACCAGTTTGAAGAAAAAGCATCCTCCTTCTACTCCTCCTCCTCCTCCTCCTCCTCCTCCTCCTCCGCCTCCGCCTCCCCCTCTTCCTCCTCGTCTTCCTCCTCCTCCTCCTCGTCCTCCTCCTCCTCCTCCTCCTCCCCCTCCTCCTCCTCCTCCTCCTCCTCCTCCTCCTCCTCCTCCTCCTCCTCCTCCTCCCCCTCCCCCTCTTCCTCCTCGTCTTCCTCCTCCACCTCGTCCTCCTCCTCCTCCTCCTCCCTCCTCCGCCTCATATTCCTTGTCCTCCTCCTCCGTTTCCTACTCCGACTCCTCCTCCTCCTCCTCCTCCTCCTCGTCCTCTTCCTCCGCCGTCTCCTCCTCCTCTTCATGTTCCTCCTCCTCTTTCTCATCATCACCGCCGTCCTCCTCGTCCTCCTCCTCCTCCTCCTCCTCCTCCTCCTGGACTTCCTTGATCAAGGGTCTCATCATGATGTTTCAAGTTTGCACCAAAACGATGCGACAATTTGGGCTTGAACTCTGTCGTATTGGGTCCCATGTACTGTCTGAGCCACGCGTTGGCGAACCCAGGGCCGAACAAACATATCCTCCTGCTCCTGGTCCTCCACATCCTCCGCTGACAGGTGATCGAGATGATGGCGTCGAGGAGCTCAGCCCAGTCGGCCGAGGACGCCCTGTGGGAGAGCGAAACCAAAGGCACACACAATAAGATAACCATCGAGCAGAGAGTGGACCGTGCGCTGCTGGTCAGCATCTACGAGCAGACGAAACAGATTGCTCAAGTTCGGCCTGAACATTTTGGAAAATTTCCAGGAGATCAGCCATGCAGGGTGCCGAACAGCACCGAGGCGATTCAATTGACACGTGAGTTCTTGATTCCGATCGTGACAGACTACTGCAACGGGAAGATCACGGACAGCAAGGCTCTGAAGATTGCGATCAAGGAGAAGCTCAAGGAGCTCGGACACACGGCGCAGCTCCCCTTGCCTACAGGTGCGAAAAGGGCCTCCTCGACATCAGGTGAACCGCCACGGAAGCGACCAGCAGCCGCAACTTCAAAGGAGAGCCTGCAGAATACCGATCAGAAGGAGATCACGATGAAGAGGCCGAGCGCCGCCGACATCGTCGAGCCCGCCAGGGAGACCAGCCCGCCCGAGGACGCGACCGACGACGGCATGGCGGCCATCGAGGCCGACGAGGAGTCAGAGGAGGAGGAGGAGGAGGAGGAGGAGGAGGCCGACGACACCGTCACGACACCGATCACGAAAAAGCCATCGGGCCCAACACCACCGACGATGAAGTTCTCGAAGGCGATCGGTCCGAGCCTCAGCGAGCAGTTCGAGAAGGGCCTGCAAACGATCAGCGACAGCGACTGAGACGGGTCTCCTGAGTAGGGGGCACCTCCAGTTCTCCCTTCCAGTGCTTTCTCCCTCGCCCTCCTTGCTCTCTCCCTCTCTCTCCCCCCCTTCTCCCACCCGCATCCTCCCCCTTTGTATCCTCCAGCTCCGCCCTCTTCCCCCCGCCTCCAGTTTTTTTCCAAGTGGCAGTCGCCTCCAGATCCTCCTCCTACCCCAGCTCCTCCGAGCCCTGTTCATTCCTGCCCACGTTGGGTTTGCAACGCAGTGCGCGTTCACTGCGAACTGAAGGACACTCATCTCTCGCGATGGGCGCAGCTCGAGCACATGGGGAGGCCCTGGGTTTCAGTCTGCCTCAGCACTCCTCTCCTTGGCACTCCGTGGCTTTGTCGCCTGGGCGCTGGGCGCGGCTCGGAAACGTGGCGGAGCGTCGCGCCTAAAGCCCCATTGGGGCCGTTGGCCGAACCGTTTGGCGGGGCCCTGGGGTCCCAGGTGGATCGCGGCCCGATCATTCTCATCGCAATTAGCATCAGCGTCACCATCATCATCGTCATCATCATCGGTATCATCATCATTGCCATCCTCACCACCCCCGTCCGAATCCGCATCCTCTTCGTCGCCATCATGGTCATACTCATGGTCATGGCCATGAGCATCATCATCATCAGCATCATCATCATCAGCATCATCATCAGCAGCAGCATCATCAGCATCATCAGTATGGCCATCACCATCAACATCATCATCGGCATAATCATCGCCACTATCATCAGCGTCGCTGTCGTCATCGTCACGTTACCCAAACGACCCCAGAGTCGGCACGATCGAAGGACCGTGGGAGAAGTGAAGGTTCTGACCCATAGTGTAAATCGCCATTGCGACAACAAGAACTCAACAGCATGTTCCTTGGGTCGACATACCACAAATAAACAATGTCTGCACAACGCATCCTCTTCCTCCTCCTCGTTATCGTCCTCCTCCTCCCGATCCTCCCCGTTCTCCCCTCCTCCTCCGCCGTGTCCTTGTCAATCCCTTCCATAGCCATTTGGGCTTCAGCGATCAGCTTGTTGGCTGAGCCATCCAAGGAGGGCCGAATCATATACGGATCATGGGGAAGCGAGCTTGCGCGACTGCGAGGTGCGCATCGAAGGCAGCGGCTAGGCCTAAGAAGGCCAAGCCCACGGAGGAGATTACGATAACTATGCGAGGCTTGGCATCGGTCTTCGAGGCACAGCGTCAGACTCAATGCAAGGCTGAGGACGAAGTAAAAGAGGAGCGGCCGAGGTCTGACGAAAGCCCCGATTATGGTCCTGCGGCTCCGCCGCCAACAGTGGCAATGCCAGTGCAGCCGGCAGCTGTGCCAGGAGCAGATGATGCGGCAGGCGCTCCTCCACCAGAGAATCGGCTTGACGATTCCAACATGTCCAACTTCGAGACAGACGTCGTCGAATCCGTTGGTGAGTTGGACTCCTGGATGAAGGCTGGGAACGCCATGCCTGTATCCGAGGAGCAGCACACATCGTTCGGCCACTTCTGCATTGCCCAGGCAAAGAAATCGTTGCAAGAGCCAGAGCGTCTAACTGACCCTCATCTAGACTGGTTGACGAAAGTCGCCACCACTGGGAAGTTCGAGAATCGCGACAAGGCGTGGCAGAAATTCAACAAGGAACACAAACCTGGAACCGAGAAGCACGCGGAGTACCAATCCAAATCCCCAGAGGAGAAAAAGAAGTTCCGTGAGGATTGGGCAAAGGCAAAGTACTACGATGAGTATAAGGAGAAGGTCTTGGCGCAGAGCTTCTCCCAGACCGATACAACCTTAGGCGAGTACATGACGTTCGGCCAGGCTGTGGTGCACTACGGCGGCTGGTCTTGGCAGCCCGCCATCGAGGGTGCCAAGAGGGTCTTCATGAAGTGCGCGAGGATGGGAGGCAAATGGATCATGCTCGATTCGGGGAGCGAGCTGCTCATGGCGCTGGTGTTGCGCCGCCAGCACAAGGACGAGTTCGAGAAGAAGTGGAGTCTCTTTGAGAAGAACATTAGTACTAGCGGGCGTGAAACCGGTAGCCCCACGGCTGGTTCGGGCAAGGGCGGAGGTGGCGGAGGTGGCACTCCCACGCCCAAGCCGCCGAGCAAGCGCATCCAGAAGGACGAGAAGGATGACACCGAGGATAACAAGGAGGTGAAGGCCCTCCAACAGAAGATCAAGGTCGCCAAAAGTATCAGGACGGACTACGCCAAGGCCACGAAGAACGCTCGAGTCCTGGCGAGCCGCATCGAGGACAATAACTCGGGACTCGGCCAGCTCAAGAATGACCAGAACCTTGGTAAGCTGCTGGCGCACATCGAGAACCTGGAGGGGAAGGTCGACAACTTCGGGAAGGAGATCCTGCTGGAGGACATCGGGCCTCTTCGTAAGCGCTACTCGGCTTCGCGGTTGGCCTCTCACCTGGACAGCTTCAACGGCCTCGACGTGCACATCAAGACGCTCATGAAGTTCACCAACAAGCTGATGCGGATGTCGCAGCACATCCACGACGACTGAGGCTGGCTGCAGATCGCCTCAGCTAGAAGGAATATGGCCTTCTTACTGGCCACGGGGGACACTGGGGAACTACTCCAAGGGGAGTCCCATCCCCTGCTCTCCGCCCTCCTCCACCTCGTTCGAATCCTCCCCAATCATGTTCCGATGCTGGTCGGGGTCCGCTTTATCGTCCAAGGGGGCTCGAAGGGGGCCCACGAGAACCCGAAAAGAGCCCGACAGCACATTGGAACGGAGAACACACCAAAACAAGTAGAACAATAACGAAATAAACAACCAAAACAGAAAAAAAACATCAAACAACAAAAAAACACAGCTGCTACCCGAGATTACTTTTGGATTACTCTTGGCCCAGATTACTTTTAGATTACTCTTGACTTTACCTGTGTTTTTACAGGGAAACACACACATTCGCCTCACCATGTTGGGGATTACTTTTAGATTACTTTTGGATTACTCTCGCATACGCCTCCCCACCGTAAGAATCAAGACTGGATCCGCCAGCATCCCGTGCGAACACCTCCCTTGGGCAGCCTGGGTAGCTGCGCACCGTTCTCTGCGAGGCGTCGCGGGGTGGCGTCTCAGAGACATGTGTGAGAAATTCTGCCACGCTCCTTATCCTCCTCCTGATCTCCCATATCTCGGTCTCCCCCCTGCCCTCCTCCTCATGCTAATCATGGTCTTCTCGTTCGTCCTCCTCCTGCTCATGGTCACGGCGCTGCCCGTCCTTCCTGTGTCCCTCCTCCTTCTGCTCCTGCGCCTCCTGCTATTGCTCCCCATTGGTTTTTTCAAACCCGTTTGAACAAAAAAATCAGCTCCTCCTCTCCCCCCCTCTCCTCCTCCTCCTTCTCCTCCTCCTCCTCCTCCTCCTCCTCATCCTCCTTCTGCTCCTTCTCCTTCTCCTTCTCCTGCATATTGCACCAAATCCTGCTACCCCTGCTGCTGCTGCTCCTCCTCCTCCTCCCTCTTAGCATCCCGTCCCTCCTGCTGCTGCTGCCCATCCTCCCCTCTGCTCCTCTTCATGCTCACACGCAGGGCCGACCTTTGAAGGCGACGCGAACGTTGATGTCGCCACCCGTTTGGGATGGCGGACAACGACGAACGGACGGACGGACGGAAGAAGACGACGGTCACAACAACGACGAACGACGACGGACGACGAAGCTGACAAACATCAATGATGACGGACGGCGACTACGACGACGAGTGACGACGAGTGACGACGAGTGACGACGACGACAACGACGACAACAACGGCGACGACGCCTCCACGGAAGTAGCGCCCAGCGGCCAACCTAAGAATAAGCAGATTAGACGGAAGAGCGAGCACGAGCGGAGAGGGACGGGCAACATGCGGCAGGTCGGGCCTGGGACACTCACATGCTTGCAGCGCTGGTTAACAGGTCAATGCTCCAAAGCCCCACTGGCACCACCTCGAGCGTCACGCTGCTGTCCGTAACCAGTCTAGCTCAAACCAACTCTTGCACAAGGGAAAGGGGCTGGTGGTAAGACGGAGGTCGTTCTGGATGTCGTTTAAACTCAAAGCGGCGTTCCCTTCAAACCCTCCCCCTCCCCCTCCCTTCCCTGTCGTCCTCGTCCTCCTTCTCCCCGTTCTCCTCGCCCACATTTCCAATGCATTCCCCTACTGTGGCCCTCTCTCCCCCCCATCCCTTCCCCCCATGGGGTCCCCTTCATTTTCCCAATGGTCCAATGTTCTCTAGTCTGTTGCCTCCACCATCTCGCCTCTCTCCTTCTCATCTCCCCTTCCGCTCCCGTCCGCCTCTTTCCCTCGCAAAATCCCCCCTCCCCCCCCTCGCCCGAGTCCCTATCGGCCAACTGAAGCCGCGACTTGCCGTATCGAGCCGTCCGCTGGGTCTTGGACGCAGTGCGTTTGCAACATGCTAGGTAATTAATGTTGGCTCGGTAAACGACAAGGGGGAGGACACGCAATGAAGAGGAGGCGGCAAAGGAGGAGGTAACAGGAAACGAAGAAGAGGATGAGGATCCCCCCAAAACTGCCATGTTCGGCAATCGTGGGGGGTTCGTTGGCCGCTGTTCCTAGAACGACATCCAGACAACCTGCGATCCTACCCCCCGCTCCTATTAATGCACATCCCACGTTGTGTGTCCTTGATATGCTCCCACATCATGAATGGGAGTCCGACGGTGCGATGAGCGACGCTGCTGGGTCGTCGGCGCCACTGGTTGACGACGAGGGCACCTACTCTGACAGCGACGACTTCGTCGAGACGGAGATTCTCCCCGAGGAGGAATTCATCGCAGAGATGAAACACCTCCTGCTCTCGAGGACATTGTCCGCGAGGGACTTCTGCGTGCTGATGTACTGGGCGGACAAAGCAGGGATGGTGAAATGCCACGCCTTCGCCAAAGCCCCAGGTTGTCCGAGTGGCCACTACCAACGACATGTTGATGCATCGCTTGACATATTCAAAGATAGAGGGAAACTCTACGAGCTCGA